TCTCTCTCTCTCTCTCTCTCTCCTTTCCTTCCTTTCTTTCCCCCTCCCTCCCTCCCTTCCTCTCCCCTCCCTCCCTCCCTCTCCCTCTCTCCCCCTTTCCTCCCTCCCTCTCCCTTCCTCTATCCATCCATCCCTCTCTCCCTCCCCCTCGCCTTCTTTCCTCCTCTATTTATCTATCTATCTTTCTCACTCACGCATACCCAGATATGCATGTGTCTGTGTGCGTGTATTTGAGAGAGAGGCCTGTGACTGCTCTTTCCTGCGCCTCGTGTTTTTCGAGTGGGACGCGGAAGAGGAAGAGGCTCCTGTCGCGCTTCGCCTTGTGACGATGACGAGCCCATTTGTATGTGACGCGTGCCATTGTCGAGAGCCGAGAGAGGGAAGGTTGGTTGTTTATTAATCCCCGTCATGGTTCATATCTTGCGTGCATAGCGAACAAACCTGGACAGATATGCAAATTTCGCTCAAGGTAGACCCTAACGAGCCCTTTTCTTGGCTGGCGGAGGTTCGTGGCGACATATGGTGGCGGTGAACCGTATTTCCCTTTTCTATTTTTCGTCCTGTGTTTTTTTGAGTGTTCGATACCATTCCGCTTCACGTCACTAATTGGCGGCCCATCTAGTCATCTGGGCCCATCACCTGCCGTACAGCGTGTAATTGGGAGGCGGCTCGAGATAAGGAGTTCCTCCCTACAGGTAGATAAAGACCAACATGGGGATGTGTCTGGGGGAACCCGTGTAAGCTGGCAGGTAAATGGGACAGCGGCTGCTTTATCTTTCTGTCGTTGCTGCGGATACGCGAACACATCCACTCCATATTGCGAGTCTTGTGCCATTGTTATTCGGTATTTTACTTTTGGTCTCATGTGGATATCTGCAAGTGGCCGCGGCAAACATGGCCTTAGTCGTCGAGCTTGCATCATAGCTTGACAGACACGAAAGCGGAGATGAGAACTGCCACGTTCTGACCCTCGATTGGGATGCTGCCAGGGGGCTGCATAGCTGCCTCCTCTTGGCATTATCAACACGACACCACCTGTCGCCTAATGGCCCGGCCGCCCGTCGTCTGCTTGGGCTCGGGACCTCTGCGCCATCTGTCTGCTCCCGCCTAAGCCGCCCGAACATTATGCGTCAGTTACTAGCTGTTTAAGTTTTATTATTACAGGATTGCGGGTCATTACCAAGCTCTATTATAGTTGATTTGGTTATTATTCATATCTATTTTCAGTCGGTAATATCTTAGCAAGATTGTCGTTATTGTTTATTACATACACCTTCATTTCTTACAATGTGCTGAAAAGTATTAACGATTTTGCAGCTTGGGTCGTATTTGTGAATACAGATAACGCGCCTAAATAATTTCGTAACCTTAGCATACGTAGAAGATAGATGGGCATACGTAATGTTGTCTTAGGGTTCGAAGCACAAGTGTTTCTTTAGGTTCACGGATAATTGATGTAATCCGCGGGTGAGGGGAGAAGGCACGTTAGTGTTGGCAAGTGTGAGTGTTGTATTGGGCTCGGGCAGGGGTTGCGGCGTGCCCTCTTTAGGCCTACCAGGTAGGCGCGGCGCTGGCTGCTATCTCGAACACTTGGCCGCGCCTTAGAGGCAGGGAAGAGTATTTTTTCTCGGGTTTTCACAATTAGAATACTTGTGTCGTGTTTTTTGTTCTCGCGCCTTCCTCATTTAGGATGTTTCAGGGTTCCGTTAACGGCCACGCGGGTTATAGTGGCGTCACTTTGTTTATCACTCGCGAAGATGACTCTGATGCGCACGTGGTCATCCCTGGAAGAACGAGGTTTTTAGGGATTCAGATTACTTTTGCTCTCTGTTCATCCTCCCACTTTCTCCTTCTGTCTCTCTCTCTCTACCTCTCTCTTGTCTATTTATCAATCTACCTATCTACTCTTTATATCTAACTATCTATCCATCCTCCCATCCCATTTTCCATTATCAATTTTAGAAACGGCTGATTTTTTTTTACATTTCTTTCCGGTCGAATTAAAACGCGCTCAACAAATCCTCAACAGACATTTGTGCCTCGAATTGTGAGCAAGAGTCGAGGCCGTATTAGCGCCGCTAATGAGGCCGAAGGGCTTCCCGTGAAGTTTGAAAGTATTATTTTGTTTACATGAAGCCTACTCGAGCCCCACGTTGTTTACCTGACACTTCCATTCCCCGGGGAGGGCAGGGGGGCACACAGGTGGCTGGCCTTTAGGCGTCGCGTCCTTCAGGTCGAGATGTTGGGACAAGCAAGGTGGAGGATGCTTACGGGTGGAGAGGCGGAGGTGGTGGGGCCAGGAGGCGCTGGGGAAGTAAGGGAGAGAAAGGGGGAATAAAGGGAGAAAGAGTATCGAAAAAGGGGAAATAAAGGGAGAAAGAGTGTCTATAAGGGGTATGAAGGGAGAAAGAGTATAAAAAGGGGGAATATATGGATGAAAAGAGAAGGTTTTATATGGTATGCGTGGGGCGACGACGGGCCCGAGCGGCAAAGGGGCTGGCCATTCATGCGGAAGAGAGGGTCTGATATCACGGGTACGGAAGGAGGGGCGGGAGGGGCGAGGGGGGTTATAGGATTACGCACAGTATGGGATTTAGAATGAAACCACGTCGGGGAGGAGGTCGGGACGGGCCTGTCTCAGTGACGCAAAGGGAGCAGGGAAGCGTAAATAACACTCGTTTTGAGGAGCAAACTTGTATTAACGAGGCTGTTAAACGCTAGGGCCCTCGGCATGCATAATGGATTTTACGGGTGTTTACAGGTGACGGACGCTCTAAAGGTCGAGCCGTGGGGGGCGAGAAGGGGGGGGGAGCGAAGGGGGGGGTCTTGCAAGGCCTTCGCGGAAGCTTTTAAGATGCACGGCTAAAGGTTGAATCATTGTGACAGCGCAGGGCTCCGCCGTTGTAAACACCGCGCTCGGGAGAAAGGCGAGGGGAAAAGGGGAAATGCTTCGTTACATGGCAGCAAAGTGCGGAACTGGAGAGCCAAAGAGAATGAGGTAAACAGGAAGAAGTAGGAGGAAGAGGGGAGGATCTTCGGACAAGGTGTGCGAGCGAAGGCATGAGAAGCAGAGATGGGGCAGGGGGCGGGGAGGAGGGAGGGGGAGGCCCACCACCGGCCGAGGGAGCTGCCCACGCGGATGACTGGGCTGTTGCTGGCGGAGGGAGACGGCTGTTGAATCAGAGTGAAATTGCTCTCAGCACCTTGGTAATTGACTCTTCATTAGTATCATGGGTCTTGATGGGTCAATTACAAGCAACTGGAACGTGCAGTTGTATGTATGGGGAATATTTCACAGACAGACGGAGGGCGGGGTTCATGATCATGCACTTACAGTGTGGTTTACGATTCACTTTGTACCACTCCCAGCACTTCGCCCCGTGGCAGGTGTCGATAGAGGTTATTATCTCTCTATTACCGCGCAAGCCGTGTGGGCGGAGGGTTATTAATACCACTTACGCAACGCAGAGCCGAGGCTGTCCCAGAAGACGGAATGAGCATGGGCTTGGTCGCGTCCAGCTTCGTGGGAACGTCTTCGCCCCCCCCCCCCCCCGCTGCCCTTGTGTCAAGTTGTGTCAAGTTGTATAGAAGTCACTTCGGGCCCCATCCCCAGCCCTTACCCCTTACCTCTGGCCCCGTCTCACCTTGCTCTGCCCTGCCCCTGTCACTCACTCTGTAAACCTGTACGCAGACTTGAATATAACTTCCCTTTCCCCCACCACCACGCCCCTCCCCCACCCCACCCCCACTCAAACGTGTAAAGTTGTGGATGACGTAAATGGAAGTCCCCTCCTAGCCCAAACACCCCCCCTCCCCCCAACGCGTATCACTTGCAGACTGATACCAAGTTGAGGGAAGGGGAGGAGGAAGAGAGAAGAAGAAGAAGAAGAAAGAAGAAGAAGAAGAAGAAGAAGAAGAAGAAGAAGAAGAAGAAGAAGAAGAAAAAAAAAAAAAAAAAAAGAAGGAGGAGTGGTGGTGATGGTGGAGAGGAAGGGGAGGGGAGTGCCAGGGTGGGAGTAGGGGCATTCCGCGCATCTGTTTACCTATTCTTTCGCACATTATGGATGTCTTGACCATCATCCGCTTGCCAAGGTTGGTCTGTCCTCGTGCCAAGATGTTGAGTGAGGCGGAACGAAGTTGCAGAGGGAAAAGCAGGAACGAAATTCAGGAGAGAAAATAAGTGTAGGCATTAGGAAGAATATGCAAGGAGGGTGTGGGCGACGTTGCGGGAAAGTTGATAATTAATGACAGTGACCTCGCTGTTGAAAAATGTCACATGCTGTTTTTTTTTTTCTTTTTTTTTTTTTTTCTCTTTGTACTATGCAAATGATGGTTGAGGTAGGGGAGGGAAGGCATCCTGCCCCCCCCCCCCCTCGCCGCCTGACAGCCGTGGGGATGACAGGAGCCTCGGCGGCCTCTGCCACGTGGACTGTCTCCCCTTCGTCAGGCGAGACGCCTTGGTCTTAAAAATGCAGGATAAACCGCGAAAGAGGTTTATTTTTTTCTCCTTTTATAGTCGTTTATTTGAAATGCAATTGAATTATAGAATAACTGATTGTGCTTTTGATATTTTAATCGCCATACGAAGTAAATGTAACTGATCGTGAAGTAATGCTGTTATGCCCTGTGGATGTATGGCAGGGGAGGGAGCGTCAGGGAGCCGTCGCCGCCCCTGGACGGCCGCCAACACCGCAGTGGTGCGCCAGGGGCCTCCCCGGGTATCCTTGAGGACACGTGGGCGGTCCCTGTTGCAACCCGAAAAGTGCAATTGTTCGACAAGTGTATCCATGACGTCAATCGTATTATAGGAATCTGCAAGCGAATACTTTCCCGCTGGCCAAACGCCGCCTCGTGTTCCGCGTCATGCAGCTGTTAACGTAGCAACAAAGTGCATCTGCCAACTGCGTCATGCCACTGAGCGCTGAATGAGCCTTATGTCAACATGGCGGTCATTGGTCATTTGAGTCTGTAATCGGTCTAAAGATTTCTTGAATTTTCAGGTAATCAGAAAACAAACGGTCATGTACCAGGTGTGGCGCACCTTTGGGAAGAAATTTATACCATGTCGTTCTGTTGGCGTGTGAATAAGTCGTATGTGATGAGGATGGATGAATGATGTAAACTTTTGTGTGAAACGAAAAGAAAAGTACTGTTTCGGTGATGGAAACGGCCAAGTTGTAAGCTCATTGTCAAAGAGCGTTAGACACTCGGTAGAAAAGTGCCTCTGAGGCTTAACGAGGAAGTGCTGCTGGTCAGCTGTCAGGAGTGCCACAGCCAGTTATGTGGGGCCGCGGCACACCTAGCGGCCCTAGGACCCCTGGCCCTACGGTAGGAGGAGGCGAGGGCTCTCCTTCGGGCAGCAGGGCGTGGGCGGAGAATTTCCCAGAGTGTGAGCCAAATAATCGCACGTGACCCGACGTGCCCTCGCCCACGATGACGCTCATCGTGCCCCCAGGGGAGGACCTCTTCGCCTCCGATGGGGACAGTGGGTGTCTGGGCAGCTCCCCAGACGAGGGGGGAGAGGGAGGCCTGCATGTCAGTGAGAGCTCGCAGGTATTCCTCAAGGAGCTGAAGCGGGTCTCGCTGACAGACGAAGTGCCTCCTGCCCCAAACGGACAGGATGTGCCCGTGACCACAGGCGAGCAGGACGCGTCCCCTCCCTCCAAGGGCCAGGCCACGCCCCCCACCCGAGAGGGGAAGGATACTAATGGAGTAAAGAGTGATAGCGAAAGTGTGCAATACCAAAGCCGTGTGTACAATGGATCGTGCCACATACCGGACGGAAGTTGCGTACGTGATAGTGAACACAAGCTAATCAAAGTGGGCGTGGAGGGCACATGCCCGCCCACGCCTCGCCCGGTGGTATACGAGTCCCGTGTGAGCCTGGACGCCGCCCCCCAGTGCGCAAATGGTGACCCCAGGTCGAAGCTGGAGGGGCCCGCGTTAGTGTCAGTGCCCAAGGTCCTCGTTGCCTCCCAAGTGAACTCGTGTCTGGAACAGGGCGCGCCTGACGCGGCCGTTCCTCTCGCAAGCCAAACAAATGTGTCTGTGATGCAGCTGGCCCTGCCCGCCTCCAACTCCGACGCCAGTGGCGACGTCGCCGAAGTCAGAGCCCGAGACCTGTCAGGGAAGCTGGAGGAAAGTGACGGTGTCGGGGAAGGCGGCGCGGCCAAGCCTTCCGGTGACGGCGGTGATAAAACCAGTGATAAAGCTAGTGATGTAATAGGTAGGGAAGACAGTGGTAAGAGTGACTCGCCCAGTGATTTAGGTGGTGAGAATGGTAAAGGAGAGATTAGCTCGGAAAACAAAGAGAAAAACAATAACCATTCTGGCATAAGTGATTTGACGAAAATACGAGACTATGTAAATTTCGGAGAAAAGATCTCAGAAGCCAAATGCAAGCGTGACAGCCCAGACGAGCAACAGTTATCCCCGAAGGCAAACAGGAAAGATATCGACATTCACGCAGCCAAGCAGAAGATAAATCTCTTGAGACAGAACTTCCTCTCGTCGCTTTCCTCAGACGATGGCAGTGACACCGCTGATCCCCTCCTCTCCTCGCCCCCCGCTGGCCCTCCCACCCCCATTCAGGGGGAGGAAGCAGAAGGAAGGCTTTGCTCCAAGAAGGGAGCGTCGGCGCCTTCTGAGACGAGGGCTGAGCCAGCTGATGAGCGACCAGCTGGCAGCGTGGATGCCGCCCAGCAGGAACGGGAGGAAAGCACACCGCATGAGTCCGCACGTGACACCGCCCCGCCGGGTGAACCTTCTGTCGTCTCAGAAGAGGTCGCCGGGGAGCACAGCGCCACGCCGACGAAGGACCAGGTGGACCCTGCGACGACTCCCGAGGAAGGAGACGTACGCAGAAGTATGGGTCATAATACTGAGAGCGAGACGGTTCCCAGCGCTGCGTGGATGGGCCCCAAGTGCGGTAAGGGGATCACCGAGTGTGATATTACACCCGGGACAAACCTGGAAGGTGGAACCACGGTAGACTCCACCGCTGTGGTCAACCTCCACCCCCATTCGGCCCAACTGCCGCCAACGCCGCCCTCGTCCCCTCCAGGGGAGAAGTCCCACACTCGGCCGCCATGCGTGAAAGGTCACTCTGCAAACTTAGTAAACAAGTTGATGTACGAGTCCAGCAAGCATCGGCGCGGAAACGAAGGTGAACAGACGGAGGAGGAGGAGGAGGTGATGGTGTCATCCTGCCCAAGCATTTTACAGACGCCCCCCCACGTGGGAAGGGGCGAGGAGGCGGCTCGGCGGGCGGGGAGTGAGTGCGAGAGTCAACCCGCGCCCCCCCTGCCAGCACTTCCACTCGCGCAACCGCCTCGACAACATGGAAATCCACACGTGCAGCGCCCCTCCGCCAGCGCTCATTGCGGAACGCAGGACCAGTTGTGTCACCAGCTCGCACTGTCACCCGGAGGAGGCGCGGGGGAGGACCGCACCCAAGGCGCCCACCACCTCTCTCCACCTCTCCTCCGGAGGGACCCGGGGGACCTGCAGGAGGAGGAGCACCAAGGAGGCCTCCTGGTGGCACTGACAGGGGAGGCTCCTTGTTGCAGCACCTACGACGTCAGGCTGACGCCCGACCACGCTCGGTTAGAAGGACGTTGCGGCATAGAACCGTGTCATTCTCGGCAGTGCTGTGTGGCGTCAGACAGTGCCGCAGTGACCAGCACCGGGCACTGCGCGAAACAGTGCGTCCAGATCGAGCCCAACCCTCGCGGCGAGAGGCAGCCCTCCTGCGCCTGCCCGAGACCAGGGCTGAGAACTACCTCATTAGGCCCCAAGCAGAACTTGGTGTCCTCGTGTGGCTCGCGGCGGTGCAGCGGGTGCAGTGCCAGTGACAGTGAGAATGCGCTGGAGAGACCCTCGTGCTGCAACGAGATCTCGTGTCTCCATTACCTCAACCTTGAGCCCGGAGATTTGTTAGACAGTGACGCAGAATATGATATCGAACGAAAAAACAGACTGAGAGCAGCGTGTGAGGACATCGCGCGGGCACTCAACACCCTTCCACCCCCGCAGCCCCCGGACTATCCTCCGCCACCCAGGGGCATCTCCAGCTTCTCCAGGAGCCACGCGCCGGCCCCTCAGTATCGAGACCAGCAAGTGGAGGCTCACCTTTCCGATTCGGAGGACCAGCAGGGCGTCGACAGCCTCCATGTGCACATGAGGAGCCGTGGCACCAGCACGGCATCCGATGAGGAGCGACGGAGCAGCGTGTACGACAACTGCGGGATGGACGGGGGCATGTGTGAGTGTGGGCAATGTCACGCCAGCGACGTAGAAGACTACACGCGCGTCCCTCCGCGTCTTCCCGCCAGCGCCCGCAAGCGGAATCGCGGCCGCAAGGAAACGGACCGTTCCAGCTGCGGTAGTGAACGGGACGCAAGCGACCGCGAGCTCGAGGACGAGGGTTTCCGCACGGACGCCGGGGAAGGGTGTCGCACGGACGAGTTCGAAGTGTGCACGACGTCCGACGACAACGATTACGACGACGATTACTGTCAGACTGACGACTGCGGGGAGGAGTGTGACTATTGCAGTGGTGATGACGCCGAGGACGAGGACGAGGGCACGTGCTACATGTGCAAGCAGAGCCAGCTCATATCCCCCGCGTGCAAGCATCCGGGCGTCATAACGAATGGAATCCTCAAGTCCCTGAGCGGGCGGAGGGCGAGCGAGAAGGAAGCAGTGCGCGTGCCCCGACAGAGGTCGCTGGCGCAGGCCCATTCACCGGCGCCAGCTCACGCGGCAGGGGCTCGGCGCCATCCGGGAGTCAAGCATCACCAGTGACGAATTGGCCGAATCGGAGGAGGAACGCTCTTACGATGGCAGCAACTGCGACATCTCCAGCAGCTGGAGGTTCGGGCTGTGCCGTGACGTGACTGCCTCCAGGGACTCCACGCTGCGCAGCGTCAGGAGCGAGAGAAGCTCGGCCTCCCTTCCGTTCGACAAGTCCAGACAGAGACACAAAGAGAAGTCGAACTCCCTCCCCGGCGCCAACTCTCGCGGTCTGGCCGGGGACGCCACCGGCCGACCCCTGGGGGCGGGGGTAACGCCCCTTCGGCAGGCATCCACGTCGGACGACGAATCTGGCTCGCACAGTTCCCTGCCTCGTCTACCGCCGCGTCCCCCTCGGGCACCCCGCATGCGGCCCCCTCTTACGCCTAGCCCGCCTGCGGCAGGTGCAGGAATACCGCCCCCGTCGCCTAACAGCCCACGGCCTGCCATGGGGCTGCAGGGGCTGCAGCAGCAGCGCTCGCCGGGAACCCGCGAGCCCTGCACGCATCGGGGCCCCTGTGGCTCCGAGGACCGTGGCCCCCGCAGCCCCAGCAACCCCAACCCCCCGTACGGCTTCCCTGGGACGGGCAGTGGCACAGCCTTGCTGTGTCCCGGCAGTCCGAGTCTGACGGGGCACCACTCCACGCCCTCCCCCGCGGGCTCCGAGGGCGCGCCCGCCTCCCCCAGGATCAGCAGTCGGGCGCTCGTCACTCGCAACTTCTCCATCAGCGACGACGAGAGTGGGGGGCGGTGGGCGGGCGGGCGGCGCCATGTGACCATCACCCGCCACGAGAGCGTGTACCGGGAGGTGGCCGAGAAGGGCTACCACCTCCCCCCGGGATCCCCCGTCGACCCCTACTGGCTTACCTGGGTTAGTATGCTTTGTCTCCTGCGGTCAGGGTGCTCTGACACTTGGCCATAAGGTCTGCTAAGAGCCTGTTGCAACAAACCATTTATGACTTCAATGTGAGTGCATGTGCGTGTGTGCGATATGAACTGTAATTAATCTGTTCCAGTTAGGGTTGTCACATTCACTGCAAGAGCAGGATTTTTAATATCCGGAGACTCGTTGCCCTTTCGTAACAAGAGTCGTATCCTTCCCTCGCGCGAAGGCGTGGTCCAATTTGATGTCTCCAAAATATTGGCGTGGTTTCATGGACGAGGTCTTTCGATTTTACATAAATGTATTCGTGCACTTTGCAACGCTAAAAAGTCTGCCCACAGCAAGCAGAACTCCTTAAGTAGGCTTGGACGGATGCCAGGAAACTGCTGCCGAGTGCCCCGTAAGCAGCAGGAATCTCTGTTGCACACGGAAAAACTTTAACATTCTGGAATCTCTGTGGGTCTCCAAAGAAAACTCTCCGTATCCTCCCAAGCAGTAAAGTAAACAGAATTATTGATGCTCTTTGGTCCCAGTCCGCGTTCCTTATGGCCGCTGATGCGACCCCGTTTACGGAGTTTCGCTGAGATTTACCGAGATAACATTATGTAGATTCTGGCCCCAGTGTCTCCAGTATTTATGTGGCAATACGAAAACAAAAGGGAGCAAAGGAAGTTTTTATGGCGATATACTGTGTCTTGCTACGTAATGAGATGGAGTCATACGCGGAATGCGAGTTGATTGTTAGCGTTTAGTTTTATCAGTGTGATTTAGCCTTCGTAATCATATACTTATTACGTCATGTCTATCATGCATGGAGTTAACATCTGGATCAGGGTTATGTGACTGAAGAGCTGACACGATGCAGACAAACAGATATTTCTTAATATGAAAATAAAATAACGTCTACCCTAGTTCTTAACGAGGTATGTGTGTGCGTGTATGTGCTTCGGCATGTGTATATATTTGTGTAAGCATATTTGTAAAGTGAGAGTGTTTGTGTTATTTTTTTCGTGAGGGCGGCACTAGCGGATCGGTGTGGGTGGGTGTTGCCACAAGTGTTCTGCCATTATGCAATACTGTGTACTTGTTCTCACGCTCCCCGGACCCTTCTCGCTCCTCTAAACATTTGTCCGAACATCTCTTGCCCGGAAACTCGATATTTATTCTTGCTCCTTTTGATATGTGCGCGAGTGTATTTATCAGGATTCGATTTCTCTGTTTTGCAGAGAGAGAGAGAGTGTGTGTGTGTGAGAGAGAGAGAGAGAGAAAAGGAGGTGGAGGACAAGAAGGCGGGAACGCGGGAACAAGAAAGAGCAAGCGAGAAAGAAAAGGGAAATTGTGTACGTTTGCAAGTACGAAAGCGGAAAAGGGGAAGAAATTGCACAAGAAAATGCGACAAGGCAAAAGGCGGGTTTAATGCCAGTGCCAGTAAACAAGCATCCGAGGGGAGGCCACGTCAAAGCTTACTTCACAGGAAATCCCGCGATGCCTTCATGTGCTAGGATATGAGGGGATTAGGCAGAGGAGGATTGCTTTCCCTTGTGTCTTTTTAAAGCACAGCTCTTGGAATTTTTATTGCTTCAGTGTTCATCAGTAATGTATTTATCAACAGTTGTTATTCCTATTAACCATTTTTTGTCGATTATCAAATAGCTGCAGTGGTATTAGCCTTTGATAGGTCTCGTGCCATTGTCCATTGTTGAAATCCCTGCTGTTTGTTCAATAAAACTTGTACATGTGTTGCATGTAATGAAGTAAATAAGCAAAGAACCGCATGCCTTGGAGGTGAACCGCATCCATCACCATTAGCTAAGTGAGGAGATAGGTCAGTTACCATGGTTACACCTAATTGTCATTTATACATCCAAATTAAGAATAATTTCCTTCTGTGCCTTGACGTAGCTGCCGAGTCAAGTCGTCCAAATGTCTGCCATTTGTTATCGAAACATTTTTCAGCGGAAATCATTATTACTGTAGGCTGGTTACACGGCGATGATGCGGAATGGCGAGTTATTTCCTGTAAATCTGTTGCCGGCGCGGGAGTCCCTCCTGAGCATCATATCCTGTTGGCTCCGTAAATATTAGTTGTGACTTGGATAAACAACGTTGCGTAGTCGATTCCGCAGTCGCTTGTGGCAGTGACGAGGAGATGCCTTCCTGGTCGCGTCACTCCGCTGGCCGCTGAGCCGTCATAGCACCGCGGATGCCCCCTCCCCCCCATCCGGCGACGTATCTATGAAGCCATTGCGGCTGACGTTTGGGCATTGTCTCATTTGGGTATTCATGGGCACGAGAGTCCTCCTCGTCGACAGGACCCTGCAGACGGAGATGATTGGCGGGACGCTTAAAAAGACTGCAGGAGGTACGTGGCTTGCATACGTGCGTTGGAAGCCCGTGCTCTCCCCAAGCAGGTCTTGCTGGCGTATACGGCAAGAGAAAGGAAGGAGGAAGAATGGAAAGAAAACAAATAAAAGTAGGGCGAAGGAAACGGCTGATGTATACCTGATCACGTGCAACGGCAAAAAACAAGAGACTTGGAAACACCTGGACCAACAAGCGGCGAGCGCGGAGTACACCTGCTGGGCCCTTGTTTGCGTTCATGCGCGGACATGCAAGGCTATCAGTTAGCGAGGCTGCCTCTCCTGTCTGCTGTCCGCCGTCTGCTCTCCTGTTGTTGTTTTTTGTGTATATTTATGTTCGGCGTTCGGAGAATTTCTTTGTTTATTTAGGCGTGAGTTTGATGCGTTCCCCGCGGGGCAGGACTCGCAGTTTGTCTTTCCTCTGTGCATTTTGGGGGAATTCTTATCAGCTGATGTTATCGGAATGGATTATTTTCTTACGTCGACGTTTATTTTCCTATTCTTTGTATCCGCCATTAATTCTCACTCCGGCTTGGAAGCACTTGTCTGCGACCCAGGTGGTGCTTCGTGGTCATCGTCCCATGGCCTCCCCCTCTTTCCCCTTCTCTCCCCTCCTCACCCTTCCCCTCCTCTTCCCTCCCCTCTCCTCCCATCCCATCTCTCTCTTCCTCCTCCCCCTCCCCTCGCCACCCTCCTTTCAGTTTCCTCGTCTTTGTAGTTATTATTTTTCACGGTTTGCCTTTCCCTTTTCTTCTGCTGACCGATTTATTTTCCCTTTCCTCGCTCGGCCGACCCCCTGACCATGACTTTTCTTCCCTTTGTGGTATTCACGTCTAGGTTTAAATTCGTGTTTCTTTGTTTCGTGTTATTTCCTGCTGCTCTCGTTCTCCCTCCTTGCTCTCTTTCTCTCGCCTTCCTCTTTCTTTATCTTTACCTATCTTCCAATACCCCCCCCCCCTCGGCTTCTCATCTCTTCTGCTTCGCTCCCCATTTTCTGAAATTAGGAAGCCACACTCGCTGGTTTCCGCAATATGTTTCCCGTCCACTTCCTTGTCTGCCTTTCGAATAATGGCCCTATATAGCCACCGCGTGTGTCATCCCCTGGCCCCTGCTACTCCTCCCCCTTGTACGTCTCTGCCAGCTATCCCTTGTCCTTTTCCCCCTTTCTCACACCCTTTACCCCACCTCTCTCTATCCCCTCTTTCCCCTCTCTCTAGTATTTCTCCCTCCCGCTTCTCCCCATCCGCCCCTCACCCCCACCCGTTTCTCTCTTAGAGTTGTGCACAATGGTGATTCGCGCTCCGTTCTTCGTCGCCCCCCCCTCCCCCCCTGGACCTCCCACCCTTTCTGCTTCTCTCTCCCCTTCCTTTTCCCCTTCCTTTTTTCGCGTCGTTTTTCCTTTAGAAAGTTTTTCTTACCATTGCTGCTTTCTATTCGATATTCAGTTAAACCTTTGCCATCGTATTATCTAAGTTTAGAATCTTACAATCTCTCACTTCCTCTTTGTTCAGTTGTCTCTTGTTTCCTTTCGCTCTTTTCCCCCGTCTCGCATTCTCTTCTCTGATCCCTTGATCTTACTCGAGAACGTTCGTGGTCATCTTCCGTCTTCTTCTGTCTCTCCCCTTTCGTCCCTTCCTGCCCCCCTCCTTGCGCTTCCTGGGCCCGTTTTGCTCTTTCAGTGTCTTTCTCTTCCTTCTCGTCTCGGGCTGTCTGTTCGATTTCCTTCTCTCTCTCTCTCTCTCTCTCTCTCTTCTCTCTCTCTCTCTCTCTCTCTCTCTCTCTCTCTCTCTCTCTCTCTTCTCTCTCTCTCTCTCTCTCTCTCTCTCTCTCTCTCTCTCTCTCTCTCTCCTCTCTCTCTCTCACTCACTCACTCACTCACTCACTCACTCACTCACTCACTCACTCACTCACTCACCCACTCACCCCCCCTATACTTCTACCCTCCTTCGTCCCTCCCCGCTACCTGCTCCTTCCCTTCTCCCTCCCTTTCCACCGTTCGCTACGGCAGGAGACGTATCATCCCCACGGAAGCTCCTCGCGGTCTGTTTAAACAAGACATAAAGCCTTGGCCAAACAGAGGGCAGCCACCGAGGCCGCGTAGGCGGCGGCGCCCGCGGCGGTTTGTTCCCGCGGCGGTCGAGAAGGACGCTCCAGGGGGATTGGGATCACACGTTGCTTGTCTAATTGCTTGTCATGGCCGGCTGGGGTTTCCCCCTTTTACTCCTTTTCTGTCTGTTGATATATATTAATTTATCTGTCCTTTCTTTAAATTTCTTTTCCCTGGAATTGTAGCTGGTTCATAGTCTGAGGTAATCGTTCTAGTGTTGGGTTCGTTTACGTTTAATTGATATTTGGTTAATCAACTGTTGGCAGTATTTGCTCAGTGCCCGAAAACTAATAAACTCTACGCGTGTGACACGCCAAAATGACATTCCGAGAAATGCCCCGCAATAACGCCTTTGCAACCAAGCGGCGAAACTCTGCGGCGATCGCCCTCCGCGTTTGGGGCTTGGCTGGCCATGTGTGAGGAAATATTTCCTTGCTTTGCCTGGAACAGCGCCCACCGCGGCTGGGTCGGCCGGATCGCTGCCTCCCCGAAGTAAATGAGGAGAAACTCGTTAGTGCGAC